CCAATGTATGATACACTGACAAGCATCCTAATGGATGTTTATTTTGATCATTAAAGTTTATCCAAAAAGTGATATTCACGTGCCACGCCTTGCCCGCCCAATTCGTTAAAACTTTTTTCTTCACTTTGCTTCAATTTGGCGTAGTTGATTCAAACTTTCACCGCAAATTTTGTCGATTTTTTTTGCCATTTTGGGATCTCATGTTCAATTCCGAGTATGATAATTAAGATTTTTTTGTGGTTATTGGTGATATTCAAGTTAAGGTTCTCAAGCAACTGCTACAAAAGTAGGTTTAGATAATGAAAATAATGTAGACACCCCAAATTAATCCAAACCAAGTGCATCTAAAATAATATACAAATCTGATGTTAGCTGAACGACTTGCTTCTCACCACCAAAGCTTTAGAAAGTACTCCCGCCCCACCTACTATATTTGCAAATGATGCCAATGTAAACAAGATAATCATTCATGTCTCTTGAAGTTTGTAGGTGGTGAGTAACATCCTCGAGAACCAGATATTAAAGTTGATAAAGTTGAGGTAAATAAAACTGGTGGTTAAATGTCGGTCTTTTGAGATCCACTGGGTAAATGCATTTCTTCCACTTAGCCAAATGGCGTGTCGCCCTGCACTCGGCTCAAGGGTACCTTCTGTGCTTACACATTGTTTAGATTTCATTCAGTTATAGATATTATTTATATATTTGTATTTCTATGAGGATAAAAATTTTGCAACCATTTGCAAAGCCGCACTTTTCTCAGAAATACTAAACTTAACTTACATCCTACAAAGAGAGTTTTACCTGTTTGTCACAATGAATAGGAATATATATGGGTATGCATCGGTAAATTTAGTTTCTTTACCTTACCCTTGATCAAGAATATACAGTTTAACTTGGGAGTTATAAAGACTGTTCTCTATAAAGCTCCATGGCTGCCTCCGTAATGATCGTCTTCAATACCTTCCGAGCTTGCTCCGTTGCGAGTAAATCATTGTCAGTTTCCGAAACATATCTGAGAATCCTAAAAACTGATTCCCGGTATCTTTTGGGAAATATCACCTTATTCGTTTCAGAAGTCCCTAGAATTAAATCATGTAGTAACACAATAGCAGTTCTCCTCATAATCAAAAGAGTAGGCAGTTTAGTAAAGTTTTGTTTAATGTGTGTAGTCTTCGGCTGAGGGTTTCTATAATATGACCAACTGTTTTGCAACCAAATTTTTCGCAGAGAGATCCTCTTAGTCAAATAATACAGCAAATATAAAATAAAGAGGAAGAATGCCGATTCCCAAATTTATTCAAGGGATAGTTTGGTAAGGTACTGGGCGTTCTATCAAATAATTAAATGGGCTACGCTTATCTTGTGCAAAATTTGATCTAAAGTATGACCTTTCGGAATAATTTATTTACGTATGGTCACTGAATACAATGGCATTTGACACTAGCCATAAACAATTACAAGACCACAGCTGACTCTAGAGGAGCTCTCATGTTTTAAAGCGTCATCTATTTCGTACCTGATTTACCGAAACTACTTACTTGCTTGTAATAGCCACATCTCAAAACGCTAACCAATTTAGCTTATTTAAGAATTCAGCCCGTGTATTAGTTCAGATTTTAATTTCCATTCCTCATATTTATTATCTCCTGACTTTTCATTTATATGATTTAAAAATTTCAAATTTATTACTGATTCTCCTCTCTCGTCTAGATGGAGAAGTTACTTCCGAAATGTAAATATATTCTATCAGTTATCGTAAATTAATTAATTATTGAAAAATTATGATCTAAAATTATTCAAGTCACCTGTTTTATTATTTCTTCTTTACCCCGGGATTCATTTATTACAAAAAATTAATTAAATTACCCCAGAAAATCTTTGAATGACTCGAAAACCTACAGATCATGAAAATAAAGTTTTATCCAATAGAATAAATCGGCTTAGTAAATATAGATAAGCGAAATACCCTACAAGATTATATCAGACCACATTTGCATCTCTTCCAAAGAAAACAAAAACCAACTCACATCCATTCATTCCCACTAAGACATATAAGCCTCGTTTTGCATCTTTGGTCATGTAAACTGATTTCTTCAACCGCAGGGTCAAAATGATTTGTAACCGGAATAAGAATTGTAAAAACTGGGGTAAAACGACATTTCTTCAAACAAGGTTTGAATCCCTGATTTAAACATCCTTTAAGGTTTTCGTAAACCTACACTAGTCCGAGGAAATCTTTATGCACACTAATTTCTTCATATATAAATAGGATTGGTAGCGCACTGGATCGACATTTGAAGATATGGGATTGGACCTATTTGTCGGACAAGATTTGGAATTTGGATGAAGTCCATGGACTATCCAATATAAATAGGATTATGATTACAAACGCCTTCTTCGGAAAGAATAGCATCTTTGCAATCTTAAATGAAAGATAAATAGATCTTTGTTGGTGTTATAGCTGTTATCAATGGACCCTGGAACTGCGTTATTGGCATTGACATTGTATGGATGTGAGATACGAGAATTGCCTGACATACGCATCTCAAGATTGACATACACATGGATAACAGGTCGAAGGAACTTGGTAGAGAAATGGGTTGCTGTACTACAAGTAGATATACTGCCTTGCTGAATTTTGTAAAAACAAAATCAAGAATTTGATGTTGGCTTAGGAAAAACCTCGGGTGAACTTCCAAAAACGTTACAGGGGAATGTATAATTGAAAAAACAAAGTGCTTTTTTATCTGAAAAGGGGGTTGTCGAGCAATCAATTAAAACATGAATGCATATTTTTGTCATCCTTTAAAATCAATTGATCAAATCGGATCAATCTTGAGAAATTAGCTACAGGGTTAAGTACAATCTAAAATATAAAACTTAAATGAAAATACTAAATAAATAACTAAATAAAACAAAGGTTACTGGAACCCTTAACTTAAGAACTGAAAATTATATGTAAAAAAATTCATGCAAATATATAATAGTAATATGGATCGTTAAAAACTATCATCATCATCATCATCATCATCTCTTACCCGAGAAACTGCTTTACCTTCTTCTCATTCATTCTCTCTCATCTAATCACAACCAATGAAAAATCAAGAACCACCTATTGTTTCTTAAAAGTGAACACAAAATCTAAACAATCTAACATAATTACACAAAACTTAAAATTTTCTCGGAGCCAAATGCTTGACTTGAGTCAACTGATGATTTCGGTAATTAAAATACGTTCCATTTAATGAATCACAAAAAAACTGTAAACGGTTAACTAAATTTTTCCACGGAGTGATTATTTCCGGCGCCTTTATGGACAGGTCTAAGCAGGTGTAGTAGCATGTTGATGTTGTTGAGGATATTGTTGATGTTGTTCATGTGAATGACTTGGTAAATATTTTTCTAATAATTTTCTTAATGCCACTTCATCAGTAGCAATTAAATTTTGATCCCAATCAATTACTAATGGAGCTTTAAATACTTCTGAAGGTAAGACATCTCTTTGAGTATCACCTAATTCTTGTATACTATTAAATGTATCATGAATCATTTCATATTCTTCTGGAGTAAAAATCTTATCATGGAAATCAATTCCTTTAATTGTAACTGAATGTCCCAGAGATTCATAATAATGTTTTCTTCGATCAGATAAAAATGGATAACATTTATGTAAACTGGTTTTTGAATGATTATCTTTAAGACATTGATTTACAAATATTAAATATTGATCATATGTTGGCATTTTATCTTTCATTACATCAATTTCAAATTGTGGTTGTTCAGGTAATTGAATTTGTTTATTATAAGCTAATCTTAATAAATTATATAATTTATTAGATAATGGTAATTTAGCATTATGAAATATAGAAATAGTAGCTGGTTGACTTTGTAATGTTTTAAAGAGTGACATCTTTAGCTGTTGTTAATATAATTGTTATAGTATAAAGTATAAAGTATAAAAGAAAAAGAGATAAAAGTTTTTATAAGAAAAAAGGAAAGTAAAGAAATTTTATCAAATATTTATAGTTGAGGAACCAAAGAGAGATAGAGAAATGTCGGAGAGATTTACCTATGTATTTGAGGGTAAGTAAGTATGAAGATGACTCTCTTTTAAACTTTCTTCCTCGGAAAATAAAAGAATTGGATGATTAATCATTTAGTTTAAAAAATATTTTATTTTTTGGAGAATTGGTTTGTTAACAGTTTGTTAATAATCCCGGGAGTCACGGTGGCATCTAAAAAAAAAATGTCTCTGTCCTGTAATATTACGTACAATTTGCCTCTCTACCATTAGTGTAACTGAAAAAATGATTCCTTCATGTTTTTTTTTTTCAGAAGCCACTTTAAAGCAACGGAGATATATCACCGTTGAAACAAATCATTAAATTGTACAAATATCGGAAACAAGGAAATCCATTTATCCCGGCCATTAACTACCGTTCTTATTCTCTCTTGTTTTCCGTTTGAATGACTCCCTTACCTTCTTATCTTTTGACTTCTTCTTCTTCTTCTAATTTCACTTCCTTTCTCCCTGTCTTGAATGACACTGTTAAAAGAAAGAATTATATTCATAATTTTTTTAATCCTGATTACATAATCAAAAGAATTTACATATTTCACGTGACTAGTGCCAACCATCAAGTCACACCGATATTTATTCAAATATCAAGATCTAATCTTTACTTTACTCTTGTAATTAATCCCTACCCCCCTTATACCCTGAAACTAATTAGAATATGTGTCGATTTATGATCTATAAAGGAAAGGACCCAATGGTTCTTTCCGATCTTTTAACAAAACCAGCTCATTCAATAATTAATCAATCATTTGATTCTCGATTAAGATTAGATATGAGAAATCCTATAAATGGAGATGGATTTGGTGTTGGATATTATACTGATAAAAACTTACCTTGTATATTCAAAGCAATAACACCTGCTTGGAATAATGTTAATTTAAATAACTTATCACAATGTACTCAATCACATCTTGTTTTTGGACATGTTAGAGCTTCAACTCAAGGGGTTTTATCTGAAAGTAATTGTCATCCATTTTCATTTGGTAAAATAATGTTTATGCATAATGGTGGTATATCAAGTTTTAATTTAATTAAAAAGAAATTGATTAATCATATTGAAGATGAATTTTTCATCTATATTCAAGGTTCAACTGATTCAGAATGTTGTTTTGCCTTGTTTTTAGATACGTTATATAAAATGGGATATAATCCAAATGATTTAAATTTACAAATCTCCCATTCAATATTAAAACAAGCCCTTTTAACCACAATTGAATTAATTAAAAATTGGCAATGTGAAATCACTCAAGAACCTTCGTTATTAAATTTTGCAGTCACAGATGGTGAATCAATAGTGGTAAGTCGTTATATTACTTCTAGAACCGATGAAGCAGCTTCATTACATTTTAGTACCGGGTCAAAATTCTTTGAATATCAACCGGGTTTATTCAAAATGGAAAGGTTAAATCGATCACAAGATGTTATATTTGTTGCTAGTGAACCATTGACTTTTGAAAGAGGCGATTGGATTTGTGTTCCGACAAATACTATAATAACAATCACTTCCAAAAATACCGTGTTAATGCACCCGATTAGAGATGAATTTTATGATGATGAAGGGACAATTGAAAGATCTTCTGGGTTGGCCATGCGGAAAGGGTTAATAGGCGGAGTTCCAACAATGGCTGATAATAACAACAACGGCAGTGATGAAGATTTACCAATTCATATCCATCATCCTTCAAATGGTGATCTTATTGATAATGAATCTATCGATGAAGTGGATTCTTCAATTGCAGAAGTCCCCCCCTTAGCACGAGAAGGAAGGAAATCAATCGTCTCGGATCTAGATAGAAGACGAACAAATGATGGAGAATCAGTTTATTGAGTTAGTTATATAACTTTACATTTTCAATAATAGACGTTTGCAATAGCCTGGTTTCTCTATCTCTAAGAATGTTTTCGTATTTATTTTATTTTATAAAAAAGATTGTAATATATGCATAGAAATATTATAAAAGGAAATTGTATTGTAATTTACATGTCATCATAAAGAAGTCGTATTAAATGAATCACACACACATGTTAAATTTAACCTTTACTTGCAGCTCTAGTTAATTTAACCCTTTTGCTTCCTGCCTCTTCATCAAATGCTAAAAGTTCGTCCTCTTCTTCCTCTTCCATATCTCTTTCCCCTCCAGAGTCTGAATCTTCACTAGATAAATCATCATCATCATCTTCTTCATCATGACCACCTTTGAGATCATCACGATGAAGTCTCACAGGACCAGAATTTATTAAAGATCCAGTTGAATCATACAACGGATGTGATTTCTTATATGACAATCCATCATCATTTGGATCAATATATTCATCATCATCATCATTAGCTTCAAACTCTAAATGAGAAACAGGATTACCGATGTGTTCTCGTGTATTTGTAACATCCTCTATAATTATATCATCATCATCACTTGAAGTTTCTAATTCATCGTCATCATCGCCATCATTTTCCCCATGAACAACTTTACCAGCATTTCCACTTCCACTCAAAGCATGATGATGAGAACTAGTTGTTGCTGCTGTTGGACTGGATAATTGCTGAGACATATAGTTTGAGAAATGGTCATCATCATCTGAACCAGATTCATCGCTGTCTAATAAATATTTCTTCTTGGAACCGGTGGTGGTGGTAGCAGTAGTGTTTTGTAGTTGCACTTCCCGTTCTTCTTCTTCGTCCTCATCATCATCTTCGTCCTGTCCTGCAAAAAGGTTTTCAAAATCGCCGGTATTGGCCGACGAGTTAAAATTGTCTATTTTAAGTTCACCAATCAATTCCCCCAATCCTTCATCAAATGTATTACTTTCATCTTCATCTTCATCCTCCAGAGGTTCATCATTACCTCCTAATATAGCATTGTATTTTTCTCGAGTATCATACAATACATTACTTACATAATCTTCCCAAACTTCTTGATCAACTTTTACATCAATCAATTCACTTAATGAATTGGCAGGATATAATTGAATAAACTTAACAACTTCTTCGGCAATCAAAGTTAAATGTCCCATAAATCCTAATCTTAATCCATTATGGCTCAATTCATAATCAGTACATAATTTTTGTCCTTCAATGATTTTATTGGTAATATCTCCAGAATCAAATAAATCAATTGCTAAATATTTATTAAATCCAATATCCATTGATCCATTTAATACTTGTTGTACAATATCAAATACAACATTATGCAAGAAATTATTCCAGGGAAATCGGAAAAACATAGTTAGGATATTTGAAATGATTTGAGTATCAAATAATGCAATCTTTAAGAAATCTCCAACAACTGGATTTGATCTAATTTGCTCTTCAGTTAAATTTGAATTAGCATGAGGAGCATCTTCATCTTCTATAGTTGTTTCATCAGGTCTGATAGAATCATCTTGATCATTATTAAATTCCTCAATTGTATCATTAAAATTATCTTCTGATTTGGTGGTTGACTTATCCTTTTTATTTTCATCATCAGGTAAGACCATGATTTCATTATATTTAAAACTTATTGGATCATATTCTTTCATTCTTAATCTCAACTCATCACGTTCTTTAACAATATCAAAACCTCGATTATCATTCAAAAGTGCCATATTTGAACAATGCAATAATTCAGCAATTAATTCACAAATTTTAAATCTTTCAAATCCTAATGGTTCAATTTCTCCAAATGGAGTTCTTAATTTTGAATCAAGATCTTCTTTAATTAAGATTTTATTGAATTCATTTATCCTTTCACCAAATACTCGTAATAAATGTCCTAAATATATTGGATCTCTACCGGTTGGAGGATGACTTTCCAACGTTACATATAGCACTGGTAATATATCATAATCGGAATTATTCTTACGGATAATTTCTATTATTATACCAACACCGTTAGCTAATGCATAACCCCCCTTTAACATGATATCACATAAACGAGTCATTTGAGGTAATGAAACTAATTCTCTAGTTAATTCATTAGGACCAATGGTAGAATTATCAGTTGTGGAATTGGCAGAAATTGTAATAAGGGCTTTCAAGAAATCAGCAGCAGAACTTTGTCGAACCAATAACATGTCATAATCCTCTTCTTCGCCTTCTTCTTCTTGTTCTTCCTTTTCGTTTTCATTTTTTGACTTATGCACAAGGTCCTTGGTCTTTTCATCAACATCTAACGCATTGATTAAATGAGTTATCAAATCTTGATTCTGTAAATAATGTATTATACCAGTAGAACTATCGGGTTTGTCAGTTGAAATTAATTTCAATAAAAAATCCATCAAAGGAGGATTTGATAAATGATTCATGAATTTCTCAACCAAATTAGATTGATTATCAACTAAATAACTAATCATTTCGTCACATTTCATATCTAATAAATGCTCCATTATTTTCATGAAGAATGTTGATAAACTAATAGATAAAGGTTCTTTGGCATTTAGTATTGACCATAATTTATTCAAATTATCGATTGATTCCATAACTGTATCAGTTAATGACCAGACATCCGCACTCAATATTTCGGCTGCGATAGTTGCTCTTCTATTAGCTCGATCTTCGGGACTTTCTTCTTCCTCTTCTTCCTCTTCGTCTTCTTCTTCCTTTTCATCTTCGTAATCATCATCGTCATCATCTAACTCTTTCTTGTCTTTTTCAACTTCGTCCGAATCATCATGGGTGGTTTCCTTCTTGTCAGATTCATCAGATCCATGAGGGGTTTCTTTTGAGGTTTCTTCTTTATCTTTCTCAAGTAATTCTTCTCCTTCATTAATAACTAAATCTACTAACATACTCAATACATTCTCTTCACGTAAAAACTCCAATAACATCGGGTTATTTGATAATAATTCTTGTAATAAGTCATTTTCATCCAATAATTTCAACAAGACATCATATGAAGAAGTAGAAGATTGACTTCCTGAAGAAGTATCTCCCAGTTCTTGGTTGATAGCATGGTTTTCTAAAAGGGTGGATATATTCGAAAGTGATGTGAAACCATTACTAAATTTCCAGAATGAGCCTGACATAATGAACTATTGTTGTGGTATAAATGCAATGGAGGAAATGATAAATAATATAAAAATAAAGGAACACTAATATAATTTATAATACAAAATAAAAATGCTGTTGTAAAAAATGGAAATGGATGCTTTAATTGGACATACAACTTTTTTGTAGATCAAGGTTTACTCCCAATACTTGTGGTTGTTAGGTTTTCGATCAATGCAATTTAATAAAACGTTTCCAAAGAATGAAATGGATATCTTTTTGCTTTTCCTAAATATCAAATTTTCTTTATTGGTTCAAGTTGTTAAGATTCAATTTCCAAAATTAGAATGCAAAATTAATGAATTAAATGCTTGAGGAAGGGGGGGGGAGATTTTTCTTTCTTTTCAAAAAGGAAATGTAAAAAGAAAACACAGTCTTTCTATAATTCCAATGATAAGTTGTGTATAAGTATTGAAAAGTGTACTTAAAGTAGAGGGGGTTAAAAGGTGGGAAGTCTTGGTGTACCTGGTGGTTGTAAAAAAGGAATTTCTATTTTGGTTGGTTGGTTGTAAAAAAAAAAAAAATTTTTGATGGACAACAATATCCTGCATATAACCCAAACCAATTTAAGTCACATGACCTTAGCGTTTAAAAAAAATTTTCAATTAAATTCAATTGAACAAAAGACATTGGGTACTTATTTGCTTAATAAACTAAGCATCATATAAATATATAAGAACGTCAAACATGTTTCGTTCATCTATAGTGAGGTTAACTAAACCATCGGCATTACTTAATACAAGCCGTATGTACACGGCGTCAGCATCATCAGCTACTTCAACCCCAATCAACACCATACAATCCAAACCAGACTTGTCAGCATTAAAACTTTCTTCAAATGGTTCCAAAGATTTATACGCCATTTTCAGATTGCATAACTTACCATACCTTGTAACTAAAGGTGATAAAGTATATTTACCATATAAATTAAAGGGTGCCGATTTTGGCGATGAGTTGGATTTAAATGATGTTACTACTTTAGGTTCTCCAACTTATACTTATACTGAAAAATCAGGAATTCCACAAGAATTATTCAAATTGAGAGCTAAGATAACAGAAGTTACCAGAGAACCATTATATCTTACAGTCAAGAAGAAGCAAAGATGTAGAAGAAAGAAAACTTATGAAAATGAACATTTCCAAACAGTTTTGACCATTAGTGAATTGAAATTAAAGTAAATTACATAGGATAATAGAATATCTTGTAAATAGAAATAGTGATTCTAAAAAAATGTACATTAATATAAATACATATAACGTTATTATCGTTGAAAGTTTCGTTTACTATTAAATCTAATCTCTTCTGCCAATTTAGTCGTGTCAAAATTAAAATCATAATCTGCTGAATTAACAAATGGATCATTTAATAATTCCAGGGCAGTAGGACGTTCCCTTGGATCGATTGTAAAACATAAATTGATAAAATTCATCGCGTCTTTTGAAATCAAATGAACAATATCCTTGGGGATAGGTGGAGCTAATTTCTCTTTACCTGTTTTATAAATAACACTAATTGCAGCCTCATTTGACCAAGGTCTCTTACCAGCAAACATTTCAAGTACTACACATCCAAGTGACCAAATATCAATCTTGGCACTATATCCTTCAACCATACTATCTATAACCTCTGGTGCCATCCAAAAAATAGTCCCTTGCATCGACATATTGGCATTATTGGCATAAATATCATTTGACCTCTTGGAAATACCAAAATCCGATATTTTACAAGTCCCATCAACTTCCAATAAAAGATTATCAGCTTTCAAATCACGATGAATGATATTATTACTATGCAAATACTCCAAACCAAGTAATACTTGTTTTGTTATGAATCTTACCAATGATTCTTCAAACTTCCCATATGATTTCAAACATGATGCAATTGATCCACCGGCAACATATTCCAAAAATAAACTATAAACATTATTCTTTTGTTCATATCCCAAATATTGCACGATATTTATATGATCCAAATCTTTCATCGTCTCAACTTCTTTATGTAACGCTTCAATCCCACTAGAATTAAACCTCTTATTATAAACTACCTGCTTAACGGCCAACATTTCTCCAGTAGTAACATTTAAACCCAAATATACATCACCAAACGACCCTCGTCCAATTAACTCACCCTTAATCCAAGCAAACTCTTGAAATTGTCCATTCTTGTTACGTAACTTACTCACAAATCCTCGTTCAATTTCTTTTGAAGTAACTTCAATAACTTTCTGTCCCCACATTTTGGTATTTGACCGTCCTAAACCCAATTTAATACTATTTTCACGAGATAAATTGGCAAATGTATTTGGAGGTGAAACTTGTTTTCGTTGCATAACTTTTCGACGAGCTTCATTAGCAACACCTCTAATTGTCTTCATTCTCCTACGACGAGTAGTTAAGTCCTGACCAGTGGATTCACCTTTCAAAACCACATCACCGGCCGATTCTTCTGGTGTTTCAACTGTGGGTGATTTGTTGGCATTGGAAAATGTCCGTGATATTGTCGGTTTTCTCCCGACTGTCAAAAAGGTAGATTCTGGAGAAGTTGACGCTGTTCTCACGGCAGCATCATCTTCTGGTTGTTTAGTAGGCGGTGGTGGTGGTTGTGGTGACATGTCGACAACTGGGGATATTGGAGAATCATCTATGATTGGCTTGTCAAGATTTGTATGGGGGAAATATTTCTCTAAATTGCTATAGACTTCTTCAACTGGGGGTCTAACCCGCATGTTTTTCTGACCATGAACATGTCCTGTGTTCTTGTTGTCATGTGAAGGTTTGCTATTGGTAATATCCCTCTGGATTTTAATTGGCTTTACAAAGAAGTCATCATCATCACCATCACCATTATTATTATTTTTCTCATTGTTGGGTTGTTGTACCACCGGCTTCTTCATTGACTTGACAAAAAATTCATCTTCAGGTGATGACACATTTTGATTATGCTTATTAGGATGCTTGCGGTCTTTCTCCGGCGTCAGCGATCCGGGCTTCTTCATCGACTTCACAAAGAAATCACCATCATCTTCATCATCACTATCATCATGACTCTTAGAAAAACTGTTTTGAATTGAACTATTATCCGATCCGTTACTTTTACTGGTATGTGTAGATGCAAAACTATTGGTCAGCCCTGAACGACAACGACGAAGTATAGAATCTTGCTTCTGGATCTGAGTCTTCCTATCACCCGGTGGAGGTGGTGCTGCCCGTTTTGCAATTATAGACTTATCACTACCTGAATCAACCGAACTTGTTCTGTTTAAGATTGGATCACTCTTATTCACAAACGGAGTTGAATTTGTACCTTTACCTTTTGCTATTTGCTTATGAGGTTGTTGTTGTTTTGGAGTAGGATGTGTATTCACTAATGTTCTAAGATCATCTTTCAGAGGCAGCAGGAGTGTCGTCGCAGATATCGGAGATTTCAGTTTGCTATCAGCCATTACGACAGATGATGAATAAATATTAGGGATCTGTTTGGGAGGATGTTGTTCAAAAGGTGATTTCCGTCTCTTATCGAAATCGATTTCTCTATTGCTATGACGAATTACTCGGAATGAACTGGGTGAACCATCAACAGCAGTAGCATGTGGTGATATCTGTTCTGGTTCTCTCTCCACCCGTGGATGAGGACTAGTATCAATTTGTAACAGAGGAACTCTTTGTTGAGGCGTAGCCGTCATCACTGATAATCTATTATTATTGCCAGCCAACTTTCTGTCGTTTCGAGCAGGGACCGGGAGTTGAAGCGGGAATGATGGTTGTTGACGACCTTGTGTTGATGTTGATGATGCACGGGATCTTGTTGGTTTTCGTTCTTCATGAATACTCGACATGACATCAATTTGATCTTTGAAATTCAAATAATCGACCTTGGTATCTCTAGTCGACGATAATAGATATTGTGGAGTAGGTACATATTCAAACGATTTTGAATCTGAAGATGTAGTTGACAAACTAGTAGTAGCTCCCGGGGATTTCAATTCTTGATGAATCACAAATTTGAGTAAATTATCCAGTTGCATTAATGTTTCAATCACATCATCAGGTAATGCACTTCCTTCCTTCGCGTTGAAATCAGTTAAATGAAAAGTAATTGCCCCAATATTGATTACACCTATTGCCCTTTTGATGGCCAGTTTGATATTTGCACCATTGGCAAGATCAGATTGCGTAAGTGATAGCGGTGTGAACAGTTTATTGTCCTTACTTACCAAAATGAGTTTCGATGTTTCATAGTCATCCATTTTTGGAATGTAAATTTCATCCAATATTTCCAATGGATCAGGCGATTTTCGCTTTGGACCACCAGAAGTGGTAGTACTATTAGTAGCACTAGTGATTGTAATTTCTCCCTCTCTACCATTTTCAATCAATTCATCTTCTTGTCCATATGGAGTCAACAGATCTGATCTTGATGATTTATAACTATCAAATGATTGTCTAGACTTATTCTGTTTCAGAATTTCTTGAAAATCCGGATTTGCATCTAATGGTGGAAGAACATCAATTGTTGGGAATTTTGTATCATATGGAGACATTCTCTTTGCTTGTTTTGATGCTGACAGTGATGCATGTTTTACTATTCCAGCGGCTTTATCGGTTCCATATTTCCGTAACGTACTGAAAATCCCCGATTTCTTCGGTTCACTTTTAGTAGTCGATATTGAGTTTACAGTGCCACTGCTACCACTCTTTGTGAGTGGTCGATTATCGTAATAATCCACTGACGATGGTTTTGAAATAGGTGGCTTTTTGTTGTAGGTATTTGAATAAGTATAAGGAAGTGATGAATTGGAATTGGCATTGGAAGTTTCATGGGAAGTTGATCTAGCATGCTTTCTAAAAAACAGATGATGTGAAGGAGATGGCAACATATCCTTTTTCAGAGTATCAATATACGAATACGGCCTTTGAGTCATGGTTCCTACTTGTCCTGTTGTGGCTACACCTGTGCCAACAACGCTGAAACCCTTCAGGGGATTTGCACTGGGAACCAATGTTATTGAGGATGTTGATTTATGCTTCGGATATCCGGTTGGTGTCGACTTTCTATAGTCATTCTTGTTAGCCAGCAGACAACTTAGTGGGGAACTTTGTGATTCATTAGAGTCTTTTCTCGGTTTGAGTTGTTGTTGTTGTTGTGGTAAAGTACCTCCAAAACTATCCAATTCTTGTGATGATTCTCTTCTCAATAATTCAAGAAATCGATCAATTGAATTTATTCCATCATCCAATACCAAAAATTTCCCAAATTGTTTCCAAATCATTGAACCTTTTTCAAAATTTTCCAATTCTAAAAACCTATTTCCTGATATTTCATTTCTTCTAAATGTTTCCTTCCAAGAATTATTAAATCCATTTTTATCCAACCATTTAATAACATTGGCAATATTCCATTTATGGGATGCATTTACTAATGGAGATTGTGTATTCATGGCATATCTCACAAATCGTTTATCCTTACTTGCCTTCTCTGAACTTGGGGTCGTGATTGAGTTATTTGAACCTTGTGACATTGTTGACGCATCAGACTGTTGCCTATAATGGTCTTGTGGTTCTTGATGAGCTACTATTTGGCGTGGTGGGTCCATGGATGGTGGTTCAAGATGTTCATAAGGTGGATCATTACTTTTTGCTCGATATAAAATTCCTGATTCAGTGGTCAGTTTCCTTCTTGGTGTCAACATGTCTGTAGATTTTGATTTTTCATAGTCTTTCATATTATTTGACAGCGTGTGTGAGAGACGATGTAATTCATCTGATGTTTTGATATAGTTGTAACTTCCGATTATCAGACCTACTCCTCCATGTGATGTTGATGCCGATTTTGGTGGTGATGATGGCGCCGAGTTAGATAGAAGGGTGGAGTCTCCTTCCGATGTTTCAAGAACAGGACTTATTAATGGATCTTGTCTTCTAGAAGCTGACCCATATGGGAAGAGATCGGCTCTAATAGGTGAAATAACTAAGTCTTGATCATCATGTTCTGAGAAACTGAAGTTAGAAACGTGACTAGTCTTTGCTGTTAGTGGTTCATGACTTTTAGACTTTACCACTAATTCAGTTGGTGAAAATGAAAAAAATTCATCATTTGGGGTACCATTTTGATCATTTCGTTGTTGTTTAGAGTCATCTGGTTGTGATACATGGGACAAACGTCTTGGTTGTTGATGTTGATTAAGATATTGTGGTCGCAGTAAAGGGGAATGAGGAGGATGTAATAAATCTCGCTGTTGTTGTTGTTGTTGTTGTTGTTGTTGTTGTTGTTGTTGTTGTTGTTGTTGTTGATAATGCTTGAGATCATTTAATGATGAAGGATTATGGTTGTAAGTAGCTCCCTCAGAAAAGACTCTTAATTGACTATTATTATGAGATCCTACCAGTGGTTGTAAATAAGATGTTGTACCCTCATTGCTTCCAACACTCAGTTTTGAAGTATTACTCATACTAAAAGGAAGTTTTATTCTTTGAGTATCATAACTTACTGATCTTCTCTTTGAATTATTGATATTAATTCCACCAAGTTGAGATCCACCACTCATAATTGTATCCCCACTAGAAGTTGGAGTAGGAACTGTAGGGATATTTGATAATCGATTGTACGGATGCACTTTGATTGGAATAGATGATAAATAAATAAATAAATAAATAAGTAACTGTATGAGTTTGTTTGTACAAACACAAATAAACACAAATTGGTTGTAAAAAAAAAAATCCATTCAAAACAGAAGAATAAGAAAAAAAACAAAGAGAGAGAGAAATGCCAGAAAAAAAAGGTTAAAAATAGAACTTTAATGACATCATCCATCCATCCATGCATCCATCCATCTTCTTCAATGGTATTCTGGGCAATATCAAAAGCGTTAACTATTACTAGTTGGCATATCTTCCAGCTATGAAAAACCAATCGATTAGCTTAATCATCAATATATATTGGGTAATTATTAGATTTGATGCACCTCTAAATAAACACAATCATATACATTCAAGATGACTTGGTTTTACCCTGTCACACCAATTGCAATTGAGCTAGTTATTAACTACTAGAGAACATCTCTATATAATAAGCGCTATGTCCTTCATATCCAAATACATTTTATTTGCCAAAACAACATCTCTATAATTCAATAATCAGATTGAAATAACACAGATTGAATTCCCCATGTTTTTTTACTATAGAAGAGAGTTTATCACAGACTCACAGAAATTCTTAATGAGACAGATATAATGAGAGTTAATGTTCAAAATTTACTGTTTATCAATTATCACTTCATTGAGAGAGACAAGGGTGGACACTTCCATAAATTCAGACAGAGTAGGTAAGAGTTTGTAGTCCCAGATCTCTGGGCCTAAAGTGTACAATGTAACTAACTACTTGTAGTAAGAAAAAACAACGGAGAAGAATGTAACCAATGACAATCAATTCGTAAATTATGAATAGCGGGAAATTGATCTCCTCCTGGTCTTCTAAGCCAATATTATAATATGAATGAGGAGGGGATTGGGGAGTGAATTAATAACAATAAAACAGTACAAGAGGCTAGTAGAAAATTCTAGAATGATTTAGAAAATTAAAAAAAAAAATAAGGTGATGCAAAAATTTCGCAACTTTAAAATTTCTGGGGTAAAGGCGTGAATAACCCCCTTAACTCCCCTCCACCCCCTTAGAATTTGATTAATAATATATAAATATCAAGATACATCCCATTTTGTTTTTCATTTCCAAAACTTTAAAATACACTAGCCAAGATAAATATCTCAATCAAAAATGCTTAGATATACTGCTGGAAGATCATTACCAACATTAATTAGATCATCTTATCCTACATTACGTTCATCATCCCGAGTTTTGGTTCAACCAATTAGATCATATCTCACCTGGTATACACCCCCATCAAGATTATTCCCATTATTACCTCGTGAATTTGATTATGATTGGAATATGAAGGATGATTATTTCACCACTAAGGAAGAAAAGGATAAATATCTTGTTACAATTAAAGATAAGAATCTTAATGATAAACAAGTTAAAATTGATTTTAATAAATCAGAAAATTCATTATTAATTTCAATTAACCAAAATTTAAATACAAAAGATGAATCAAAAGGTAGTGAATCAACTTTCCAAAGTAAATTTAATAGTAAATATGTATTTGATAAATCAGTTAAAGTTGATGAAATCGTGGCTGAACATGTCAATGATAATGTTATTATTACTATCCCTAAAGTAGAACCTACTCCAGAAGAAGTTGAAAAGGATGATATTGTTAATATTTCTCTTAATAAGAAGGGACCTACTGAACCATCTGAATAGGTTATGTAAAGTATTATTTATTGTATTTCTCTCTGTATATAGGATTTAATGGATTTATTGATTTGTATCTGTTCACGGTGCTACCAATTACGTTTGGTTTTTTATGCCCCCCTCGACCAAAAATTCTTCCATAGAGATATTTTGTAAGACAATTTTTCTGGGGAGACACAATACAGCCTAAAAAAATAAAGATCATTTTTTAAGGTGTAAATCTCTAACACAAATTAGTTTTGTGCGAAATTAAGAATATTAGATCATCGACTACTATGCATGGAAGAAGTGGGTATATGACTGGAATAACTGGAACCATTTAATTTATTCCTGACTTTCCATAATTTTCATTTTAGTTTCCTTAGACATTTTTATTGTTTAGTATAATTTCAAATTAAAAAGTGATGAGTAGGAGGGGTGACTGTAGTAGTAAAGAGTAAGAGTCATTTGAAAAAAAAACAAAAAAAAGACAAGTCATTCGGTAGTATAAAATTATTATTTTTATATTTGCCTAATTTTTTATTTACATGAGATCATCATTTATGTACAATGATAAATTGACTGGAAGAGACAAATATATCGTATGACGTAATTAATAAGTCCGTACTACACAAAATTATATGACAAAACAACACACAAAATTAAACATCTAGGCTAGAGAAAGTAATAATATGACTTTATTGTGATCACTTTTGACATTCTAATTTTGTACTATAATACGAACTGAGAAAGAGAGAGAGAGAGAGATCATATCATTTTTGAAAAGAACTTTGGGGTCATTTCCTTTTGAAATTTAAGCTTTTTTATCCCGTTCTAAAAAAAATCAACCCTTTTTTTTCTGCTAATACGGCATCTCTCCCCCAGTCGTTCCATCATTTACTTTTCCCCCGTAGTAACACCGAAAAAATGTGTATGTATCCCCCATAGATTTTTAATTAGGGTGCTGTACAAAATTCCAGACACAAAAATAGATTTAATCTTAAATTAAAAAATAAAAAAAGTATGTCAGACATTTTTTCTCTCTCTCTTTATTGTATTCCCCTTTTGAATCAACCGACAGTTCAGTCATTCCCTTATCGATTTACTTCTTTACAACTCCCCTTCTTTTTTTACACATTAACCCAATATTACTATATACCATAAGATATACATTACATATCATCTGACAGTCTGATCCAAATCAAATAATAATAATAATACAACAGACACAACAGACAGTCAGAACCAAAGCAAATCAGAACAAGACAAAAATAGCAACTCCCCCCTTATACATTTATATAAAATCAACTATCCCACCTCCCCATATCCCATACACCATATCCCATACATACATTCCCTTATAGGTGCCATATAATAAACACTCGAAGAGATGACAATAGATATTAATCAACCTAATAAGGTGAAACATGTAGTTGATGCATTTACTGATTCATCATGTGAATTAGTAACTTTAAAGAAGAAGAAGAAGATATTAACCAAGAAGAATAAGAATATTCAAAAGAGATTTATTGTAAGTCAACAACAATATAATAAATGTTTTCAGAATTATTATCATGGATTTAAATATTTAATGAGTAATCCAATATATGTTTCTAATATTAAACCTTCTGTAAATCATTGGCAATTAAGAGATTTATTAAAATTTAATGATGATGATGATTTATTATATTATACAAGAGATGATTCTATTTATTATTATGATTTAAATAAACAACATACTAAAGAGTATATTAAATTGAATTATTATCCCAGATGTTTTAATCATTATAAAGATGTATTGGTTACTGGTGGGTTATTAACTTCTTCATCAAAATTATTTTCATTAAATTTAGATAATTTAACAGCTACTGGTACTACTAATAATAATGGTATTCCATCCAAGAGGATTGCTAAGGGGTTATTTTCATTTTATAATCCAAATTTAAATATTTCCAAAACGGTTAAATTAGGTGAAATGATTAATAATGATGTTACAATTTATCCTAATTCATCAAATTCATTTATATCATATGTTTGTAATAATGATACTCATTTATATTGTCTTGATATTAATAATAATTCAAATATTAAAGTTACAAATAAAATAAATTGTGAAGTTAATACTTGTTTAAATAATGTGGTTAAAAATCCAAAATCAAATAATATATTAACGGCAACCGGTGATTCTTCTTCAATCTTTTTAATTGATCCCAATCAATCAGGTAATAAACCTATAATAAAAACAATCAAATCTGGTCATGAAAGTGGATTTGGTGTTGCTTATCATCCCAATGGAATATTATTTTCAACCGTTTTCCAAGATGGGATATGTCAAATTTATGATTTACGTAATTTATCCGAGAAATTAATTGAAATTAAATCAACAAGACAAGGTCATCAATCCGGAGCATTTAGAGTTTGTAAATTTTCACCAGAAAATGATATGAATGATTTATTAATCATTTCTGAACATGTTGGAAGAGTTCATTTAATTGATTTAAGAAATTTGGATTATAATAATGTTGATGATCATCAAGTGATTGTTGTACCGGTTGGATTAGATCAATTTGCTGATTTTAAATCCTCGATTCAAAATCCTCATACAAGAACAAGAGGAGAAAGATTTGATCAATATTCATTACATCAAGATGACAATAGTCATCATCGTGATAATCATCATCAGGATGACTTACAAGAGCAAGACAATAAAAATAAAATCAATAAACCAAGACAAAAATATCCAATTGATGTATATCCAAATAATAATAATAATATTATGAATAATGCCAATAATATTTCATTCACAGCACCAATAGTTTATGATTATGATTATTTAACAAATATTAATCCTAAATTATTTAAAGATTTTGCATATATACCTCCACCACCTCCACCTCCACAATTTTCACCAACTTCGCATAATAATGATAATGATTATTCATTACCACCAAAATTAAACTATCCTCAATGGGATCCAGCAACCAGCAGTAGTAGTAGTTCTACAGCTGAACATCATGTCTCTCCCACATCATCAGCCAGACCTTCAATTACAGGAATACACACCAATCCTAGCTATGCATATCCAACAACAACAACAACCCAGGCATCATATTCTTATCCTAGGGGTAATAGTACTGATTTCCAAGCTCCCATGATTGTTTCATCAAGTCTTTCACAAGATTCTTCATATACTTATAATAATTATTGTGATGATTCTTATCAACAATGTACAAATCATATACATGGAGAAATGGAATTACTGGGGATTGAATTTGTTGATCCTAAATATACTAATAATTCAAAGATTATTATTGGATGTCAAGATGCGGGGATTTTGATGTGGGATATTAATGGGATTTCAAGAAGAAGTTTTGGGAATTTTGATTATGTTTGAGAGCGAGCGACAGCGAGCGAGAGAGAGTGAGAGAGAGAGAGAGAGAACAGTAGTAAATTAGGTAGTTAGGTAGGTAAAGTACGGTTATTTTAGGTAGGTAGGTATAATAATTTTTTATAGGAGTTTTTAATATTCATTCTTATTTTTGTTTAAACCGTTTTGTGTGGTTAAAGGTTGTGTTTATTACTTATTAAGTAGTAGGATTTGATTTTATATATATTTAATTAATAATTGATTTGTAGTAGATTCTAATAGGAGAAAGAGATTGCAAAATATGGTAAATTGGATTTTAAATAAATAAAAAAAAAAAATTAAAATTAAAATTTTTTATAAATACAGAGAAGAGTAAAAAACATTCTTACCATAACAGAGTAAGACAGTATATAATATATATAAGTTAATTGTGTATAAAAGGAATATCGTTTGATGAAACAACACATGTTAACATTTTTTTTTTATAAAGGATTTTTAATAATAATAAATGGGAATGGGATATGGGACATGGGGATAGGATTATACAAGTGAAATTTTTTTTTTAATTTTTTTAATAATTTTTTATCATTTTGGAAAAGGAATATTTACACCTTTTCTTGTTGTTGTTGTTTTTTATATATGATAAGTAACCGCCAGGAGATTTGAGTTCAATACTTATTTCATGTTATGTGATATACACATTGTTTTTCTATAATTAGGAATGGTGGGATTTTCATTGAAATAAATAAATAAAATATAAGCGTCAATTGTTAATACTGTATCATTTCATTCATTAGATGCAGAATCAGTTCTAATACAAGATTAGGAAAACACATCCTATCCTTACACTAATAACCATTGTTGATAATTATCCTTAACTCTCAATTTCACCCCATCAATCTTCTTCTTCTCTTCATCATTATCATACTTAACTTCCAAATTCTCACATTGGGCAATACTTTCCAAAATAATCCCATCACTATCTTTTTCTTCTCCTTCTTCCAAACTATTAATCAAACCATTAAGAATAATCTTCACCCTCTTAAACTCCAATATCAACCCCAAACTAACCCATCCTTCTTCATCCATATTCTTTCTCAAATATAAATCCTTAATCAAATTCTCTAATGAAAAATAATAATCAATTTGTTGAATTAAAGCATGTTGTGGATCTTGCTTAGGTGAAATTGGGGGTGGGATAGGTGCAGGGGCCATGATTGGATACATTGGAATACCTTGATGCATATACATTGGTATTGGTTGCATGTGTTGTTGTTGCATACCTGCTCCATTATGACGATATCCATTGTTGTTGTTATTGTTATTACGGTTATGATAGTTTCTATTGGTTTGTCTATATTGAACACCTGGTTGTTGTTGTTGTTGTTGCGGCCTGTATGGACGGTTGGTGTAATATTGTTGGTTTGGAACAAATGGTTGTGGATGGAAGAATGGTGGGACTTGATTAGGTTGGAATTGTGGTTGTTGTGGCTGTTGTTGTTGGTTATTGTTGTTGTATCTCTTTTGATATTGGGTATTGTTGTTATTGTAGTTATGTCCATTTGGATGCTGTTGATTATTGTTATTATTATGACGTCTATAATTCTTTTGGTTGTTGAACTTTTGGTTTTGTTGAGGTTGTTGTTGTTGTTGTTCGTTAGTTTCATCGGTGGTACTACTAGTGTTAGAAATAGCAGTAGCTTCTTCTTGAGCTGGCTCTTGTTGTTTTTCTGGCTCTGGTTGAGTAGTTTCTGGTTTAGCAGACTCAACAACTTCAGATACTTCAGAAGTAGTAGCAGCTGCAGAAGAAACAATTGGTGACTGACTTCCACTAATAGATTCACCCTTCTTTGAAGAAGAAGATGGAGAAGCACTGGTATCCTTATTATTTTGTTGTTTCTTTGGAGTACCCTTTTGACTATTACTATTATTGTTATTACCACCAGAACTCTTTTTTCTATTTCTATTTTGTTGTTTTTGATTACTATTAGATCTAGAACTTGGTAATATCACTTTTGCAGTTAATGGAACCCATTTATTTGTAATTGGTTTAATGAATTTTTGTTGTTGTGATTTAACATTTGGTTGTTGTTCACCTAAAACTGGTGCTTTATCAGGAGTTGGCCATTTCTGTTCATCTACAGAAGTAGAAGTACTACTAGTGGATGGAGATCCCCAAGCAGATTTAGTTGGAACTGGAGCTGGAGCTAAATTTTTCTTTTCCTTTTTGGATTCCTTAGTGGAATTAGTTGAATCTGATTCCTTTACAGAAGTGGATTCTGCAACTGGAGCAGAAGAAGAAGTTGCACTAACAGTTTCTGGTTCTTCAACTGGCTTTTTCTCTGTTGAAACATCTGACTTGGATGATTCTGGTTCAACAGGGGCAATAACATCTTTGGAAGCTGGTTCTGGGACAATAGCTGCTGGTGCTGCAACAGCAGTGGTAGTAGCTGCGATACTGGATGCACTAGTAGTACTAGTGGTAGTAGATCCATTAGCAGCAACATTAGCATATGATACTGGAGATGGGGATGACGACATTGTTTTGAATGTTTTTATTGACTATTACTACTGTTTTTATTAAGTTGGAAAATTTTTCTTATAATTTAAAAATTCTTTGGGAATGGGGGATGGGGATGATGATAATAAATACTACAAACAGGATAACTATGTTGTGTTCTATTAAGAGTGTAGTACTAGCAGCAGTAATAAGTTCTTCTTTACTTGATATTTATATAAATAAATAGTAAATTCAAATAATGTTAAGAGGAGAGAGAGAGAGAGTAAAAATGAAAATGAAAAAGTTAAAAAAGTTTTTGATGAATTTTTTTTTTTGTTTAAAAAATTTTTTTTTTCTTTCTCTGTCTGTTCTGTCTGTTTCTGTTTCTCTGTTTCTGTCTGGATATATTTCTACTCTATTAGAAATTAATTACACTAAAAAAAATTTTCTTTCTCATTTTTACAGTTTAAACAAAATATGATGAGAAGAATAAAACCAGTAAAATTAATTTTCCGTTCGGATTTTCATTGTATGCATTCTCTTCATCCCGTACAAATATCATATGCCAGGCCCAACTCTAGAATCATACAGACAAAGTATAAATATAAGCCTGGGATAATTTATAGACAGAAACAGAAACTGAACCATTAGAGACGCGTTTCAAATACTTGCAAGTGCAAAATACATCATTTCCTTAGCCAATGTTAAGCCCAGCTTTGACGAGATTTACTTTCAATGTGAGAACGTACCGACGTGTGATTTCTATTACATTTTTGTTACATTTAAATTATCCGTCTACTCTAAATAAACTCTCCATATTGAAATTATCTTCACTTGATATGGGGGACCTAACATATAGAAATCATTTGCAATTCGAATTTTTGAACAATTTGACACGGTCCTTTGCGCTACAAATTAATTTGTTTTCACACGGAAAAAAATCCCGCAACGGAAAATGGTGACAATGTTCGCGACAATAAATTTTTGGGTGCAAAATTTTCAACCTGATGGTGATGGTGATGGTGGTAGTAGTGGTGGTCAAGCAGCCAGACCAACCCAGTCAGAATCTAAATATTTCAAAAGCATAACCATTCCTGAATTCAACGGTATCACATTGACATACTTTGTACAAGCACGTGAGTCATTTTGCGCTTTTAGTAAGAACTTGCCCTTTCTTCTTTTCTTTATAATTTTGCATAATTTTAATGCCAAATTTGGAATTTCTTTCTCTAAAGATAATTCAGAACATCGCTGACTATAATCAAAACGAATACACATGGACACCTCTTTCTATTTGGAAGTACCTGACCATTTTTCTTATTTTCATGAGTCAATGTAATTGTATGTAATCAATAGCTTATTCTATATTTTGTTCCTATCTTAATCTACCATTCCCAACGGTATTATTAAGCTATCGACGTGCCAATAAACTTACGATCCGAGGAACAATTTTGGTATCCTGTTAGGCGACGTGTTGATCCATTGGGTATTTACCAAAGGTCATTTTTTTGTTTTTTGGCAGCCATAATATTATTCCCAAGGGCCACCCAGAATCAATTATTAATATCAACTTAGCTGATTTACAATAAAGAACAACTTAATGAGACTATGGGTTTTGTGATTTTGAATGAAAAAATTGAGAGAATCGTAGTTGAAGATTTAGTGGAAAGGGAGTTCAAAATTTTCATATAAAGAACTTAGTATTTAAAGATAAGAAAATGGCAAAAAAAGTGATGTATTTGACATTTGTTATATACCTATGTAAAATCGATTTTTCATACAAACAGAGCAATTTTTTTTGTTCTTGATTCCTAATTTTTTAGGTACTTGTCCTGCATCACAAAGCAAGATATATAACATGTGTATCCTTCAAAGCATAGCAAGATCTGTTTATAGGGAGATATTAAAAATGGCTGCAATTCTATCTCTTAAGTTTTTGTATAAGAATCAAAAATTTGTTCTCGTTTTAAAAAAAGTATAAATAAATCGCGTCTGTTTACTTTCTAATCATTACACAAGCTTCTCTTACCAGACATTACAGAAAAAGATGAATCATCAACAAGAGATCATAGACGAAATTACAAGCAATCACTACATCGATGAAACCAATTTCAATGAAATCAATTTCGATGAACCTTTTAGTGACGAAGAATTGGATAATAATGTCGATGAAGCTCCAATTAATGTGGGCGATAGTCATACCTCTAGATACTATGAGTCTAATCAACCTAGTAATGAGAATCCTTACGACCTTTCCTCAAATCTGGCTGAAACTAATAGTAGGAATGATAATGATATATTATCCAGCAATTGGCGTAAGCTGTTAACTAAATCTCGAGAACTGAGTATTATTCCAACCCAAGACATCCTTTCAACTCACCTGATTCCCCCCGTTTCCGATTCCATGGCTGATTATACTAGCGATACTACATCAGATGAAATTCACGATGATTTTGAATCCCATTCTACAGAACAATCCAACTCAGACAAACGTCCATTTCCAAGAGTCTCTTTTATTGGTCGAGACAAGAAAGTTTATCATATCGAGATCAATCATCGTGGCTATAAAAAGTACACATTTGTACATGGCTTGCTAATTGACAAGAATGGAAAGCTTATCAATACTTTCGCTACTCGATTTAGGGAGCGTAATCGTTCCCTTGTTTCTACGATAGAGCAAAGAGGTGATACCTTAGCTGATTTCAATTCGATGTATAACAAAGAAACAAGATTGCATCTTTTTAATTATGAACATTTATGGGATTTTGTATCTCCAGAATCCATAATGGTTGAATATGTTGGTGCTGATAGACAGATGATCTTACATAAAAAGAAATCAACCAACAAAGATATCACTACAATCAAAGGTGTACTGGTAGCAATATCAGGTGGAAAATCATTTGCTATTCACATTGCACCTGCGTCGAAAGAAAATCATATTGACTTGTGTTATCATGTTCCTGAAATGAGAACTCATAAAAAGACTCATCCTTTGGATGCCGTTTTTGATTATCTCACTTTTACTGAGGATGATTTGATCACCTTAAGAAACTGTACACGTAGTGAAGATCTTGATGATGGCAGAGATTTATTCATCAAAATCTATTACAGTGTTGTCTGTAATCCCAAAACAAGACTTCGCAAGGCCCCAAGGTTCCATCACAAATCGCGAGTTAGCCAAATGTTCCCCATACTTCAAGAGACAACCTTGAGGACGTACTCGAGTTACTTTGCTCATTTTTACTGCTTGATCCGGGCTAGAGGTTTGTTTCCTCATTTTGAAGATAATTGTTCACCTGCTATTAAGCGGGTGCGCGACAAGTTTATTGAATCAATTAATGCAGAAGAAAGAGTGACTAACTTATTGGAGGTATTTTCCTCGTTTAAATCAATGGATGGTCAAAAATATCTCAAATCTTTGTTGTATGTCTTTTCAAGAAAATTTGACGATGGAGCATTGGGTAATGTTGATACAATCTTAATCAAATTATCTAGTATTAAGGACATGTATAAGTATTGCGTGTTTCTTTCTTCATCAGATCAGGAAATATACAAGTATGCCAACCGTAATTATAGGGATGACGACCATGGGTTATCTCTCTTGGAAGATTTAGTTGATTTATTGATCAGAAGAAATAATGAATTGGTAAAAGTAGAGCCAGGTAATGCTCCAGGCGAATGTTATGTCAATGGTATCTCAGTAAAGAAATCTTATTGTACAGATCTTTATTATAAGTCTGCCGAGAATTTTAAGGAGAGGTTCCGACAATTATGCAACGTAACGAAAAGTCAAACGTCCATCGGCCTTATCTATGATCAATTTCTTCAGAAAGCTAAAACTGATTACTCCTGCACTTGTTTAGGTGAAGAGATGAACAATGGCCAGTTTAATTTGAATGAAGCTCATAAGAGTGAGATTTTGATGTTAATTCTTGAAATGCAAAAGGCGCTCGCTTCAATGATGTACGTTGCCGCCGCCAACACATCTAGTCCAGCAGAGTTATTAAGTTTGAACATCCAAGGAGATAACTACGAAGATCGAGATATAGTGTTCCGTGATGGTCTTCTAATGATTCAGCAGAATGGCAATAAGAATGGAAGTGTAGAAAGAACATTAAGACATACCACCAAAATGTTATCTCAATTTATAGTTGTACTAGCTGTTCCGGTTAGAAGCTTATTCTTGCGGTTGCTTCCAGAATTACCTGAGCTTACTCACATGTTTTTTGATAGTTCAAGATACCCAGATAAAGAGATCGTCAAACGGGTTGCTTATAGAAAGTTCTTGTTCATCACGCATTACGGTAAGTTATTGACTTGGGATGAGGTCGACACATTTCAAGCTAGAGTTTTGAATATTGATTTAAGTAAAGTGTTGGGCGTTCGTATACTGAGACAAGCGTTCACGAGATTCATTAGATTTGATATGCCACGAAGTCAGGGGTATATTCAGTCGATGACTAAGTACCTTGATGAGAAAAGACAAGTCCATAGCAATCAAACTGCTTCGTTAAACTATGCAATAGATCATAGTAATATAGAGGGTAAACACGCCCTCCAAGATGTTGGGATGATGAAGGGGTATTTTGATTCATTCTTTCAATTTATTGGAATCGAACACCTGGATAAAGATGGACTGTTAAAGGATTCAAAGAAAGTTATTCCAATGCCAACTGGGATGTCCACCCTAAGGTTCCTAAAATATGAGGATTTAGAAGATGCGAAAATGACTATCTCCCAAAATTTTGAATTCAGAGATTTCGATCAATTCAACGCTGTTATAGATATAGCCTTTACTCCAACTGTTTCTAGATTTATCTTGGCTCCTCCGGGTTGCGGTAAGACGTTGATTTATTACATTCCATTAATTGCCTTTAGCAAAAAGGCTGACAAGAATCCCAGAAATACAATTCGTCCATTGTCCGTGGTGCTTGTATCAGACTCATGTGTCTTGGATATGATAGGTAGGCTTGAGAAGCATTTGACTGTTTTAAACGCTAAGGATTACGCCAATTTCTCCAATAATACCGACGTACTAGTTGCTGTTTATAATGACTTTGAAAATCCCGGTTTAGTTACATTTCTTTCCAATTTCAACTCAAGTTATCGTAAAGGCAACAAACTTGGTCTTTTAGTAGTTGACGACGTGTATACGCTTCGGGAAGAATATGATTTCAGAAAATTTAAGAATTTTCGTGACGGTATATTTAGTTTATTCTGGAAACAGATATATCTAACGCCAACAATAAAGCCTGATTTCGACCAAGAGCTTATAAGTTTATTAAAAGTTCCGGTTCCAAATAGGCTCAATTAGTTGGCTTAACTAGATGGGGTACCTAAGCGGATATAGAAAAACTATTGTTTATTTATTAAACCATGAAATTCCTACATTAGAAATGTATTTTATATAGCCTTTTTTATATTGTACGTAGTTTAACGCACGCCTATTATGTAAGGAAAAAAAAACCTCGACGCAATATAATTCGACCAAATTAACAATGCCCAGAAAAATTTAAGAGACAAATAAAAAAATTCCAATTCTCGCAATTAACACTAGATTGTACGCGAGTCAACCAATAACTTAAATCATCACGGCGGAGCTCGCCTGGATCAGAAATCACATAACGACGCGGCTGCCAAAGGAAATAAACAGGCTTCAAGTAAAAATTAAATGCGTTAAGCACCAGAGGAAGATAATAACTTTATTAAAATTATCCTTATGTACACTCATATATTCGGAATAAACCAAACGCGCTAATAACACACAATTGTAACCTTACATTAAGAATGCATTTTACCTTTCTCATTAACTTGTTATTTCTTCTCGTCAATTCTCTTCTCTTCTCTCTCTCTCTTCTTATTCTAATATGATTCTTATTAGTATCCTAAACCTATTATATATACTCGGCTTAACAATATCCATCAACATGGACAATGCAAACGGATATAGAAAAACTATTGTTTATTTAATAAACCATGAAATTCCTACATTAAAAGAATTATATTGTGTCGAGGTTCCAGAGAAAGATAATAAGGAATGTTATGAAACTCTTGAATTCATTAAATTAGATAAAGAAGAAGATATTTTATATGATATTGCTTATCGTAGTTTAACAATCTATGACGAAGTATACTTTTATAAAATTAATAATACATATTATGTTAAATCAAAATTAGCTAGTATTGATCGATATGGAGATGAATGCCCTCTAGAATTTATTGATATAATAGCTAGTATTTGGTATCGCGAAACATGTGAATTTGTACCTGAGACTACATTAACATTTTATAAGAGTAGAGAATATGAATATACAGAACATGATGATAATTTATTTTCATTATATCATTTAGAAAGTTTTACAGATTTTAAATTATCAAATAGAATTGAAGATATAGCTAGAGTTTTTAAAATAAAGGATAAACAAGATATGTTAGAAATAGAACATAGAATTGATCATGAATGGAAAAGATGGTATGTATTTATTGATCAAGATTCTATTGAAGTTAGAGATATGTATCAACGATTTGATGAAGTTGTTGTTTATAAATATAATGAATTGGAACTGATACTAGAAGAATTATTAACAGATTGGATCTGGTGAAGAATATACATTTATGCTGTGAATACAATATCAAATGGTTATTAACATGTTTAGTTCAGCATTAAGCTTATTCTTATCAAGTGTCTCTATGTTCTAATCCTATTGATATCTCTTCTTCAAAGAGTATTGACTGACTCAGTTGAGACGTGGCAATTCTATACACCAATAAAATGCCTATGCTTTGCCCGTAGCTTCTCTTGCTCTAACAAACCTTTTTATTCCACCCGGAAATCCAAGACCTGAATCTCAACTGCGAAAGGGGATTATGGATTCTTATACGATTCTATCCGAAGGCTGTATATCACTGAAGAAACTGGTGTTAAAAATCTGGTGCAATTGGAATATGGCTACAACAACATGGTATATTTACTTAGGTATGGTAGTGTAATATAATAATCGGTCCTCTCTATATATGGTTTAACAAGTAAACTACTTAAGACCGACTAGCAGCAGGTAGAGACGATCCAGACAGACTACTATAAAATGTTATTGGGTATCACCGCGTCCTATTCAGTCAGTTTTGCTTTCACAAGAACCAAATCTTTTGGCGGGGAGTAATACAAATAAACAGCATACTGGAATTTAGTGATGCAAGCCGTGGGTCCAATAGGTTTGCATCACTAAATTTCAGTATGACGTTCATCTGTAGTACTCCTGCGGGTCCAATATATGATAATGGGTGTTGACAATAGTTGTCCTGACAGTGAATTCGTTTGATAAAAGCGTCGTGGCAGAAGCATTAAGAGTTAGCTGATCGGAACTCTAACGCTGAAACTCCAGTAGTATATGAGAACCGTATAGTTGTCGTTAGACACTGTAACCACATACTGTTATCAAAACTGACTCAAAGTGGGTAGGACAATTTTTTACATATGAAAAAAATATTGCAAGTTACATCCATTCTGCAATACATACTTTCGGTCAAAGGCTATCCAATACTTTCGGTTAAATTATGATGAATTAAAATTTTACCCCATAATAATGGACGTTACAATAAACCCCCCCTCCTCTTGTTGCCCATCATCTTCTTTCAATATCAATCAATATTTTAACGGGAATACTTTTTTTCAATTTTCTTTTCACTTTTCTTCCTTTTCTAATTATCAAAGGAACATCCAACCACAGCCTCCCATTAGTTACATATAATCATAACTGTCCCATTAATATCCCCCCCTTATTTATTTTAATCCAATTCTTTTTATCTGTTGCTATTCAATAATTTTGTAAATATATATATACCCAACCGATGTCATCAATATTCATTAATCCATTATTTCGTCCATTATTAGAAATCATAAGATCTTCAAGAAATGGTATTGTATATGGTGGTAAAATCAGATTTCTGCATGCTTTAGTCATTAATCTATTATATCGATCAGGTCCATTACGTCCAAGATTAATATCAATTCTTAAAGCAACTAGAGATCATGCTCAAGTATTGGCATCATTTGCTATTATTTATAAAACTTGTGTTATAATATTAAAAGGAGAAACTTTCTTAGGTCCAAAACAAATGGGATTATGTAAATTTTTAGCTGGTTGTATTGGATCATGGATTGTTTATTCTCAACATTTTAATATATTTCATCCTGGTATAACTCATCAAATTACTTTATATTGTTATAGTAGAGTCACATTAGCAGTTGGTAAAATATTATTAGATTTATATCTTAATCATGCTCAACCAAGTTTTAGAAATTATCAAGGTAATTTAATTAATTATGGAAATTTAAATAATCAACAACAAAAGAAATTAAGATCAATTGTTTATAATAAAACTTGGAAATATTTTGCGGTATTAACTTGGGGTTTAGTTATGTTTATTTATCATTATCAACCTCAATATTTACAAAGTTCATTAAGACATAGTATGGCATATATTTATGATGTTGAAATGGATACTTGGGGAAATTTAAGAGAATTCTTGGGAATTTAAGTGGCGTTGGTGCTGTTTTGATAATAGAATGAAGCATTTGATAGAGGGGCACCAAATTCGGAATCAATTAATTACTTGAGAGTGTGTGCTTCAGGATGGGGTTTAAGCTTTTTCATTGTTTTATGGCATATATAGGGTCATTGCAATCATGAAGAGACGTGACATTACTCCCTTTTAACTGTATACTAAACATTTGTTACATTATACTACATATACTTATTACCTTTGTTATCCTTGATTTTACTCTAGTTTTTGTGGCCATCCCAATAGTTATTGTACCTCTACAAAATCTATCTCTACTAACTAAATGTGCCAAAATAACAAAGTAACAAAAAAAATAATCCCGAGGCAAGATACACTTACATTACTCATACTGTAAAATACATTAAAGAAATCTATTGTTCTTCCCCAGGGCTTTTTTTGTTTAAAACACGTCATTTAAATGATCGTACATAATGGAAGATATCCTCTCTTGGAACTTCTCCAGTTTTAATTGTTTATTGTTATATGTATGTTGATTGTGTACCTGACGTATGACAGTTAAAAATTTTTCAAACGACGTGGGGGAGGAGGGGGGCACACATAAGAAAAACATTAACTACTCTAGAACTATTCTAACACCATTTGTAGGTGATTAAGCAAAGCTTGGTTACAAGCAAAGAGAGATCTTACTGTCTGATTCTACCCCTGAATAGCTAAGGATCACATTCTATTCTGAATTCAAACTTAGAAATAACTTTGCAATCAAGAAAAGTAAAGAAATTTATAAAAAGTCAAAACTTTTTCTCTTACATTTAATTAAACTAAAATAAATAAAAAATATTTTTTGAATCGCAAAAGAAACATATTTAAAAAAATAATTTAAATTCTGAACACCGTGTTTTTTTTTTTTGGTTACATTTTTTGGCCACCTACAGTTTATATAAAATGAATTAAAGTTAATCAGAATTTTTCATTTTCTCTTTCTCTTTCTCTTTTTTGTAATTACCTTTTAATCAATTTAAATAAAATAATAATAATAATAATGAAATTCTGGAAATTATCTTCTAATGCATTAGCAACACTCTTAGCAATTGTCTCAATTACTCAAGCTAGTGGTCCATCTGATGGTGATGCTGTTGCTGATCCAAATAGTGCTGTTGTTAAATTAACTACTGCCAATTTTGAATCATTTATGCAAGAAAATCCTTTAGTATTAGCTGAATTCTTTGCTCCTTGGTGTGGATATTGTAAAATGTTAGCACCAGAATTCTCAAAAGCTGCTGATAAATTAAATGAATCAAATCCAAAAATTAAATTAGGTCAAGTTGATTGTACTGTTGAAGAGCAAATTTGTCAACAATTTGGAATTAAAGGATATCCAACTTTAAAAATCTTCAGAGGTGATGTCAAAACTCCACAAGATTATGATGGTCCAAGAGAAGCTGATGGAATTGCCGATTTTATGATTAAACAATCATTACCTGCTGTTTCACAACCAGCTACCGAAGAAGAATTATTTAAATTAGTTGATGGTCAAGTTAAACCATTTGTAATTCAAGTTAATCCATCTAAAGAATCAAATGTAACTTTTAATAAGATTGCTGAAACATTAAGAAAAGATCATACTTTTATTAATGTTGAAAATAATGATTTAATTGGTAAATTAAATAAAAAATTAACTAAACTTGATATTTCTGGTAAAAAACCAAGTATTTTAGTTATTCATCCATCTCAATTAGATGATGCAGTTAAATTCGAAGGTAAATCATTTACTACAGATGAAGTCAAGAGTTTTATTGAAACTGAAGCTGTTCCATACTTTGGTGATATCGATAGAGATACTTATATGTCTTATATGACTTCTCCATTACCACTTGCTTATTATTTCTATAATACTGAAGAAGAAAGAAAAGAAATTGCTGCTAATATTGAAAAATTAGCTAAAAAACATAGAGGAAAGATTAATTTTGCTGGTTTAAATGCTAAATTATATGGTAAACATGCTGAAGTTATAAATATGGATCCAGAAGTTTTCCCATTATTTGCCATTCATGAAGTTAATGACAATAAGAAATATGGTGTTGATCAAACTAAACATCCAAAGGGACCTTCTATTGAAGTTATTGAACAATTTGTTGAAGATTATTTCCAAGGAAAATTAACTCCAATTATTAAATCAGAAGATTTACCAACTGAAGAAGAAAAACTTGCGAATCCAGTAGTTAAATTAGTGGCTCATAATTATCGTGAAATCTTAGACGATGTATCCAAAGATATCTTTGTTAAATATTATGCTCCATGGTGTGGTCATTGTAAGAAATTAGCTCCAATTTGGGAAGAAGTTGCCCAAGTTTATGGATCTAATAAACCGGATGCAAAAGTTTTAATTGCTGATATTGATCAGACTAATAATGATGTCGATGTTCCATATCCTATCCAAGGCTATCCTACTTTATTATTATATCCAGCTAATGGTAAGATTGATGAAAAAACCGGAATAAGAGAACCAATCTTATTTGAAGGGGCAAGAGATTTTGATTCATTGCTTAGTTTTGTTAAGGATTCAGGTGCTCTTCATGTCGATGGATTTAAATTAAAGGAAGAATTAGATGCTACCAAGAATGCTATTGTAGAAGAAGATGAAGAAGAAGTAAAAGCAGAAGAAAAACCAAAGGCTGATGAAAAGGAACAAGTTGCTCATGATGAATTGTAAGTTTGTCTGACCGCCCCTTTGTTTGTACTAGTTATGTAGAATGATTCGATATAAAGAAGAATAAAAAAGATTTGTTATTACGGAACTATCCCGGAACTATCCCCTTCCCTCTCTAGATATCCCTTTTTGTTTGTTCTTAGAAGTGCCATAACCGTATACTTCGAGCACTTTTCTCTGGCCATGTCTTTAGCCAGATCTATTTGCAACTTTTTACTAATGGTCTGAACAAATAGCAATAGAATGTAAAATTTATATTCTCTGATGTTGTAACTATTAAGCTCAAAAGGCAAGATGACAATAACTGAGCTTACTTCTTCGCCTAACTGAAACATGATGGTCAATGAATGCTATTAGTAAATAAACCGACGTACTATACTGTAAACAATCAATAACCCAAGGCATACTCTCTTATTTGTGAGCCGCGTCAATTCTTTACTGCGAACTATGTGGTCAATTGATTATAGCAATCAAATTTTGTGAATCATAAAACTAACATTATGTCCCAAGAACGAGGCATAAACGCGATGTTTTAGAAAAGTCCGACAAGGAATCAGCATAAGGGAAGTACCCTTGAAGAGTTGTAACGGAGGAGTACTTAAATCATAATCATCACCCTTCAACCACATCAAGTATTTGTAAAGGTTTCAGCCTTGTACTTTCTCCTAAAGGTGGCATTATTGTACTAATATTCATTATTACTGTGATTTTTACTCAGATCTTGTGCCACGTCTGAAATTTAAGATTTGTTGATTGCGAAATAAAAAAAACTTGATGTTGTCTGTTGAATCACGCTTTCCAATTCCATAGAAATCAATTTCCCAAAATGTACAGCCACATTAATGAATCAGACTCAGAATCAGTTCGCTGAATAATGGACAAATCGAGCACCGTTCGCCATAGAAATGGGGAGGATGCATGAATATTTATGAAAACAGATGGCGACAATTAAGTATTTAAGCAGCCCGGATTCCTGGGATACGAAATTGTAAGGGGTGCTCTTTTTAATTAACTTAATTGGTTTTTGGAAGGATTTACAATACAATCCAGACTCAACCAATACAACCCTCCATTTTTATTTTTTTTTGGGGGGTAGCGAGGGCCCAACACGCACTGAAATATTTCTCAACTGAAAAAAAAACTATGATTGATTGTTAGGTCCAATTATTTTTTTCTCGTTCTAGATTTACTACGGGAGAAGATATCATCACCCATCTTACTTTTTAATTGGAAAGGAAGCAGTAATGCTGGATATTTATAGTATTGACAAATTGATAGAAGATGGAGATATTCCTTATGAAGAAGCTATAAGTAAAGATCCAATTAACCTAGAGAATTGGTTATCTTATTTAAATCATGTGACTTCTAATCAATCAGCATCCATCGCATTCCATAAACAAGTTTTCATTTTACATCGAGCAACTACAGCCATTCCTCGTTCCAAACAATTATGGCAGACATATATAAAACTATTACTTGACCATAGCAATCAGCTAAACTATACATCCCATAAAGATCAATTGCATAATATCAACAAAATATTCGAACGAGCGATTACTAGTTTGTTGCACGTGCCAGGCGATGTCCTGATTGACATTTGGAAACCATTCCTTGAATTTTTAATGAAGACACAAATTAATGAAGTCAGTTATATCAGAAGGACCTTTAATAAATGTCTAAGGGGTTTACCGTTGAATCAGCATAAATTTATTTGGTCCATGTATTTAGAATTTGCTGATTTTATTGGTGGACTCACTGCCATCAAAATATATTCTAAATATCTACAATATTTAGATCCTCAAGTATTAAGGGGAATCAAGGATAATGAAGGAAGTGGTCCTAGCAATTTGGAAGATTTCATTTATAAATTTATTGAGTTTGGCGCTAACAAAGAAATCTTTTTAAAGTTATATCAACTCATCCTAAGTAAACCTGATGATTATCTTGGATTACCCAAATCCCCAGTACAATACTTATTTGAATATATTGATTTACTAATGGATTCTTCAATCCCGGATCTATATTTTGATGATATTATACAAGATTCCATTACTCAATTCCCCGATCAAATTGCAAACTTGTATGCAAAATTATCCGCCTTTTATAAACAACGAGGAAATCCCGAAAAGGTACGATATTATTATGACAAGGGTTTGAAAGAAAGCTTGACTGTACAAGATTTCACCATGATTTATGATCATTATACTGAATTTGAAGAACAAGAATTAAATATCCTTGCAGCCAAATTAGACAGCGACGCCAACTTATCTTCCCTCTTTGATTTTAAAATGAATAAATTTGAAAAATTAATCAATGATAGAGAATTATTACTTAATGATATGATGTTACGACAAAACCCCAATAATCTAGATGTTTGGTTTACTAGATTTGAAATCTATAAAGACGATTTAACCAATTTAATTAAAACATATGCCGATGCCTTGAAATCAATCAATCCATTAAAAGTATCAACAACCAATAATCATAAACTTAATCAAATTTGGATCAAATATGCATCGATCTATTCCAATAATGGGGATTATAAAACTGCCGATTTCATCTATTCCAAATCTATCCTTTCGCAATATATCCATCCTGATGAATTGGCAGATCTTTATATAACTTGGTGTGAGATGCTACTAGGAACTACCGAATTCAACGAAGACAAACCAATTGAAATCTTGGATGAGATCTTATATCGTGAATACTCTGATATCAATACCATGGAATATTCCGACCCATCAATACCGGTTCAAAAAAGAATTACGAAATCACCTACATTGTGGTCATTTTATATAGATTTATTAGAATCATTTATTGACAACAAAGAACAAACAGTTGAGATTGAAAAAGTATGCACTGCCTATGATCAATTAATCAAATTGAAAATCGCCACTGTCAAAAATATCATATCGTATGCTGAATTTTTAGAAAATTGGCAATATTATGAACGATCGTTAACGATCTATGAACGAGGATTAAAGATTTTTCAAGATCCAATTATTAAATATGAGATTTGGAAAGTTTATATTGCAAAAATCATCAATTCTCCAATCACAATAGAAATAGAAAGAGTTCGGGATTTATTTGAGAATTGTTTGGATGATATACCTCCACATTTAATGAAACCTATATTAATCATCTATTCAAAATATGAGCAGGATCACGGCTACGTCATCAATTCAATCAAAGTCTTAACAGAATCAATTCCCAAGATTTCCCAAGCCCAGTCATCCCCTTCATTCCCCATCAATGATCGGAAACAATTAGCATCCCAAAAACTCGACATCTACATCATGATCCTTGCCAAACTTGATGAAATCCAAGATATACCCCAATATAGACAATTCGCCCAACAAGCTATCCAAGATCAATATTTCTCCTTAGCTCAACTTTCACAATTATTCATTCATCATTTTCTCAAATTGGAAACCCGACAACCTCAATCACAACAGCAAAAACAACGAATTAGGGAATTGTTCAAATATGTCACCAATCTTGCCCATCCTGATAAATTATCACAAGTATGGCAAGCATGGGAAGATTATGAATTGGAACAAGGCGATGAATCGAGTTTTAAGGACATGTTACGGATTAAGAGAACTGTAGCTGGTGAGTTTATTCTGCAGAAACAACAAGTGCAAGAAATTAGTAATCCATTGGGGTTTGTGAAAGGGAAGAATAGTGCGCGGGCTTCATATATTCAAGAATCAACGCCGGCGGTGACAACTACGAATCCTGATCAGATTGATCTTGATATGTGAGTTTACTATATGCATGTCGTCGTTTGTTCATTGACATGTATCAACATGTTTTGGGTATCGCAGTATATAAGCTTTATAGTTGGAACTACCTAAATAAACTTCTATTAGTATCTTTATTCTGTTGGGATATTGTCGTATAGTAGCTCCACTTCCGTTAAAACTAGTAATTGGAGGTTACACGGCAGCAAAGCCAGATAATGGAAGGGCAACTTCAGATGAAAAGGAATGAATATGAATCTTGGCATGAATAAAGAAGATTATCATGAGGTTCCATGGCTGTTTTAAGAAGGAAACAACTGTTTATTTAGATAATACAAAAGAAAGATGATTTGCAAGAATTATCAGTGATTTGAAGTAAATAACAAACATAATTTATAGGGAATTGAATATGAAAGGAATGTTCATTAAATTGGCAGATGTGTCTAAGTTGGAACCAATACTATTCGACATCTATAGCATTAATCCGGAAGGTGCTTTATTCGCAGTATCTTGAATCTCTTTCGATCCATATTAAGTAATTTAAATATGTCTCTTTCAACATATATCCTGATACCATAGTTAATTATAATCAGCAATAGTTTTCATTAACTCAAATTTTTTCTTCTAAAACTATTGTTCCAATTACAATGATTCAACCAATGGAGCTTTTGCACTAGCATAATAATCCTACAATGAGTTTTCCTATTCTCATAGTAATACATTCAATCACATTCAATAATGGCAATAAATAGCAAGTAATGTTCTAACTAATCGCACGACTGTTTGATGTAAATCATTTTCTTGCAAATACAAATATATGTCAAATATCTTGATCATAAATAGCATATTTCAATCTAAATGTTACAATTTTTGAATCTTCAATCATATTTGATATTTAGTGTATACCTGCCATATCTTAGGCAATTTAATAATCTTCGCAAAATGATTCACGAAATCAAATGACAACAGAACTAATAACTGGTTCAGACAATACCATAATGGTATTCTGACACCAAATTATCTTTTTGTTTACCTTCTTCCTGATCATTATTCACATTCTCAATGGAGAAATCCTTCTTCCTTATCTTCGCTATTCTATAGTCATGTTTGACCAACATGATTGATTTTATGGATTTTTTATTCTGATGTGAATAAAATCTTGTGGTAATCTTTTCAGTATGAATTCCTTTCTCAGTATTCAATAAGTATCTTTGTATTTTCTTGTAAAATATTCAGGAACTCTCCTTAACTAATGTAGCTTCTGATTCATCGTGGTCTTGGATTCGACGTTTACTTGACGATGAATTGCTCATTGACCTATAGTATGTTAGTTATTTCGTATTAGCCACTCTCTACATCCAGGCATTCTCCGGCCCCTCCCCTTCCCCCATTTAAGGGGCTTTCGGACGTAGGGTAGAAGAAGCACGTTACAGTTTGCATTACAGTTCAGAGTCATGTGTAGGCAAAATCTGAATGATAAAATATTCTTTGTGGGGAAAAAAAAAAAATTTGGGTGCAAGTTTTGGTCGTAAACATAAATTCTGTAATTGCAAAAATGCCACAGAAATTATTTATATTCCTTTCTTTCTTCACTTTATTATAAACAAATACACCAAGCAATTATGTTCGGCAAAATCTTAGACAAATTTCACAAATCCAAGAATCAAAAAGGCAAATTATTGAAATTCAAAGAGTTCTGTGAACTCGATAAACCAATTAAAAAACTATATATTCGTGGTTTATTCCACAAGCGTCAAGCCGGCGCTAGACAAATCTCCCAAGAGATTCGTCAAAAACAAACCATTGACACCATTTATGCTACTGAATCTTCATCTTCAACGATTTATTCAGAAGCTAACCCTGCTTATTCCACCAAACTCACCCAACCTACACAAGAACCTTTTTCCGCTAGTAATGATAGAATCGTGTACGAAGATAAAACTAAATTGAGAGAAATAATCAATTCGACTTTTAATACATTACAATTCAAAAGCAGGAAGCCCGAAAAATCTTTCGAGCTATTAAGATTCAGAAAATTTGTACATGATCCAATCAAAGGCACTTGTTATTACATTAATATCTATCCTACTACCAATAGTACTACTACAAAGAAAAAAGCTGCAGAATTAGTTGCACCAATTCCCCCACCTCCACCTTCACAACCAACTCCTCCAATAACAGAATTTGTGAAGGATGCTGCTGGTTCAGCTCCTCCACATCCACCACAACCATTCATGAAGAAATTTGTATCAGATGCACTGATGAGAGACAAGAGTGACACTAATATAAGACATCGGTTTATGGCCTCGTCAAATAAATATTTGTTGTCCCACCTCGATCGTTGCTGCGATGAAATTGAAATTATGATGGAACATAATTCTGAGAAACCTTCGGCAATAGCAATTGTGCCAGATTCACTGGTGAGAGTCAAGAGTGACAGTGAAATCCAAAATCTGGTTAAATACTCTTGGGAAGAAGATTTATTGGCTCATCCTGAACGTTGCTGGGATGAGCTTGATCTTATGTTGGAAATGTTGCAAGGTGAAGATCATTTATCAAACAAGGTGAACATGAAACATCCACCTGATGATTTTTCGGGTAGATGTCTGGAGAGCTCCGACCGAATTTGCCAAATTGAAGAATTGATGTATGGACCGATCACTCCACTCAATATCCCGTCTAGAAACAAGCTTTAACTTCCAAGGTGTCTCCAGACCCACTGATAGCTCTGCTCCATCTTAAAACAATGGCCCAACAACTTCGAAGGCTTCGAATCAATATCAATGATAGATTTTCATTTGGAAATTTCTGGATAGATTAGATGATTCATATTGCACTGATTAAGAGGATCAGGAAGTCAAATATGAGTCTCTATCTTCTAGTTGTTCAAGCAATGGGTTTTGACATCCGAAGAAAAACTAAATTGATTCATCGGATATGGAAATTGTTGTTTATTGGTGAAGAGGAAGGTTATAATGGTATTATTATTTAAGTGGGAGGACAGGCTTCCCTGCTATTTATTTATTTATTTCTTATAGAATATTGTAAATTTAAAAATTTTAAACAAGAACTTCTCTCTAGTAAAAATTCCAAGCGCTATCTTTATTTGGTCTACTTCATTGTATAAATTTCTCTTAGATTGAGATAGACCCGAATTGAAAATTTGTAATTTGCAGCCAAATTATGATTATCATTTACTGGGATTCCCTCTTTGAATTTCTCTGCTTTCTTTAGTTTATATTTCTAGTGCAAGTAAGCAATACGCAGTTATCAGAGTGAACAAACTAATAAGAGAAGTAAGGGTGGGATTTAAACTGCCGGATTAGCTTCCTCACCTATGATTTAATAATGAATTCTTTAAAACTTCTTCTAATAATATCGAAATATCTGTTTCCGTGGCTCCTACTGCCACTGTTTTTTCTTCATGGATATTACTTAATCGTTACCAATAATGTAATATTACCCAATTCAAGTGTTCTTAGCTTGTTTAATCGGCACATTGTTTATATAATTACGATTGCTGTATTCGTAGTTTACAGTACAAAAAGAGTAAACTATGAACCACTATTTTGTGGCAGTTAAGTATCGATAGAAGTTTATCGACGGGTGAACCCCCCGAGAGGTAATCCATTTGACTAGAATGAAACATAACAGCAGAATTTCTAATATGTGGTGACCACTTTTATTTTTTTGAGTTCTTTTTAATTAATCTTTTAATTAGAGTCAATAATTAACACGAAATCTCGTTTTTTTTCTTTTTTTGCAACCATTTCATCATTACCGCAGGCGGAGAAACTTGTGTGTACTCCGAATTGTATAATTATCTTCTTCGGAAGCTAAATTAGATCCCAACGTTGTGGGAATGCCTTGAGTGCTTTGGTTTTATATTGGCACCCAAGTTGGCGCATATCATTAATCAAGTATATCTCCTGGTAGGTATCAAACGAACACATAGTGAATTAATGCAACAGAAATTTTCAACTCAATAAACGAATGACAAATTATATTAATGAAGATAATAATATACAATAGAATATATATATCTATAAAATTACCTGAGCAAAGCAAAACTCCCAATAAAAAAACTAGCAAAAACAGAAACCCCATCCAACTACTTCTTAACCAAACCTTTCCATTTCCTTACAAAACAATCCAAATTCTCCCTTGAATCATGAGAATTATTTAATCGAATTGGAATATTTTTCTTAATCAATTCTTCATAATCATTCCAATTTAAATGATAATAAACAAACATAGCAATTATAAAACTTTCCCAAACTTTTAAATTATTTTTGGTTTTAGTTTTGATTGA